GAGAGTGTGTGTGTGTACTAGTGGGTGTGTGCGTGAATGAGTCGGCTCATGTCTGCTCGTTATTACCTACAGCCCTCTGAGACATGCTCCCAGCCCCCCCCTCCGCCCATTCACCAGGAGCCCCTCGGCAGTGGAGACACAGTGTCTCAGCGGTTTCAGCTCACGGCTGCACCTGGAGCAGGTGGGAGCAGACAGATCCTGCAGCCTTGGGTCTGGCCTCAGCCCCTCCAAGCTCTGCGGAGACGTGTCTGACGGGGGAGCGGCTCAGCTCTCCCCAGTAACATGCTGATGTCCTGGGGACTGACTGGGACAGGTCCACAGATTCTCTGGACCCGACGGGTTGACGAGACCCGGCTCGCACTGCGCTGCCATCAGAACCTCTCAAGCTGCAGGATCGCACCCTTCACGCCAAACATCGGGCACGCACAGTCACAAACTTGGGATCGTTCAGCAATGGCAGGGGTATCGCAGCAGGAGAACCAGGAGTCTGCCCAAGTTCCCCACTGCTGAAGATCACTCTGTGGGCCACACGTCCACGAAAGACACTGGCTGGCCACAACAGAAGGATTCCCAGGCAATGCACAAGACAGACCGCTGCCTGCACCAGCCCACAACATCTCCCCAGCACAGTCCTGCTGAACAGCCAGTCACACTGATGGATCGTTCACACGCTGTCACCTGCTGTTAGCCCTCATCACAGCCCAACCACGCTAGAAGAGGCAGACCACAGGACTAGTTCAACCCGAGAAGTGAAACAAGGGCACAGAGTCACAACTGAAAACTGAAAAGAGAATCCCTTCAGGAAGAAGAAAAGGAAATGCTTCTTTACACAAAGAGAGGTGGGTGTCTGGACACAGGCCAACTTGCCTTGGTGGAGGCCCAAACAACTTGCCTTGGTGGAGGCCCAAACTCAGGGCTCTTTTGAGAAACTGCTGGACAACCTTCTAGATTCACTCAGACGCTAAACCTCCAACCAGGCCAGAGGAGCCTAGCAGCCTCCTCTTGTTCTTTCGGATCTTCTTGAAACGGGACGCCTCCCACTGAAGCTGGACTTCCTACTCGGAAAAACCCTGGCCGTTCTTCTAGCTGGAGACCGGCAAATACGGACACAGAAGTCCGCTTGGAAAAAGACCACAGCGCCGAAAGGAGAGCCAGTCAGAGCGCAGGGGTGCCCCTGAAACCGCTGGAGCGGATTTTAGGAAAACGCGCCCATGAAGTGATGCTGCACGATCGAGCCTGTACAGGCAACGCAGACAAACCTGCGGGGGCCGCCCTCGTCGTAGGGAGGGATGATGACCACCTTGACCGTCACCGAGGTGCGCAGGAGGTCGATCATCTGGTCGTGGGACAGCGTCACCACGGCGACCTTGCAGATCTCCACCAGCCGGCTGCCCTGCCGCAGCCCGGCCTGCCAGGCGAAGCCGTACTCCTCCACCTCGGCCACCGTGCCGTCGAACTTGACGTGGAAGCCCAGCTGGCCCAGGCCGTTCCGGCGCAGGGTCATGTCCACCGTCTCGCAGCCCACGGTCAGCACCTGGGGGGGGGGGGCGGGGTCAGGGCTGAGAAACGGGCAGCGCCGCGCGGCGGAGCGAGAGAGAGGAACCGATCCAGGGGCCGGGAGCCCCTGCCGGCGGGGGACCGGGGGTCCGGCGGGCTGCTCCTCACCTTGACCCTCTGCACCACCTCGCGGATGTCCTGGGCGCGGTCCTCGGCCACCCGGACGGAGACGTGGTCCCCGCGCCCGTAGAAGATCTTGAGGGCCAGCCGGTCGGGCGTCCAGCCGATGACGTCGGCGCAGAAGCAGTTGAAGACCACCTCCTTGGTGGCGCGGTCCACCAGCACCACGAACTCGTTGGAGACGGCCAGCACGCAGTCGATCTCGCCCGCCCGGCCGAAGTCCTGCGCGGCCACCCGCCAGCCCACGGCCCCCGCGCTGCCCAGCTCCGCCCCCTCCCGCGCCCGCGCCCTCTCCCGCTTCTTGGAGGCCAGCGACATGAGGTTGAACTTGCCGGCCGAGTCCAGGGGCGTGCCGGTGACGCAGTTCTCCGCCAGGTCCTTCAGGTACTCCTGGCGCGTGCGGGTGGCCATGGTGTGGAACTTGTCCGACTTGTGCGCCGCGTTCTCTGCGTTGATCACCTTGGCCAGCAGGAAGTCCCGGAAGGCCTCCGAGTTGCGGAAGGTCACCCCGCACGGGATGGGGGGCCCGAAGGGGGGCACGTCCTTCATCCGCGTCACCGCCACGCTGCGGAGACAACGGGAGCCGTCAGCCACCTGGACCGGCGCAGGAGGGACCCCGGCCCCCCTCACGCCCCGCCCTGCCCGCCCACAGTGACCCCCTCGCTCCCCACCCTGCCCGCCCACGGTGACCCCTGCTCCCTGCCCGCCCACAGTGACCACCGCTCCCCACCCACAGTGACCCCTTCGCACCCCACCCACAGTGACCCCCGCGCCCCACCCTGCCCGCCCACAGTGACCCCCGCTCCCCACCCACAGTGACCCCTTCGCACCCCACCCACAGTGACCCCCGCGCCCCACCCTGCCCGCCCACAGTGACCCCCGCTCCCCACCCACAGTGACCCCTTCGCGCCCCACCCTGACCGCCCACAGTGACCCCTACGCGCCCCACCCTGACCGCCCACAGTGACCCCCCGCGCCCCACCCTGCCCGCCCACAGTGACCCCCGCGCCCCGCCTACCTGTAGCAGACGCTCTCGGTGCCGGGGTTGTGCACGCGCACGATGATGAAGACGTGCTGGAAGTGGGAGCGGATGTTCTGGGGCGTGAAGGGCAGCGCCCCCGGCTCCTGGAAGACGATGGTCACGATGTCGTTTCCGATGTGCCTCTTGCGCAGCAGCTGCGAGGGGGGGGGGGGGACACTCGTTACTACAGAAGTGGGCCGCCACCGAGTGTTGGGAAATCAAACAGAGAGCTGGTGTGTGGGCAGTGTACTGGCGCACTCTGGCTGGCGTTGCATCATCCAGCTGGGGCTGCACACTGCTGGTGGTAAGGATGACTTATTCTTACTTATTACTATTCTTACTATTACTTATCCTACTTATTACTTCTTCCTTAAGCCCCACTCAAACCCGCATTACAGAGCCGTCCTGGGGCCTCACCTGCTGCGGGTTGTTGGGCATGTAGGGGAGCATCGTGGACACGTGGAACATGACCTCGTAGTCCTGGTAGCAGGTGTAGAGGGAGTGGGTGCCGGTGGAGTCCGCTGCAGAGAGAGCACACACACAGGTCACCACTGCACAGCGGACAGTCTCCACACCCTGCATCCTGATTCACCTCCTCCATCCACAGCAGACAGCAGACAACTGCAGCCTCACAAACTATTACAAAAAGTTCATGAATTAGTGGATAACATTTTCTCAGAATGAGGGTGTGAACTCTGCTCGTCTGAGGTGTTATGTTGCACAGGCCTACAGTATATATCACTTTCAATTATTTCCATTGATACTGCATTACAACATATGGCATACGATGCACACACGCTATTAGATCTCAAGCAGCAAGGGAGAAGGCAGGGTGTAAGGGGGTCAGGAGCATCTGGTCCAGCCGCATTGACACAACACCAAGCACAAAACGGAGCAGACACTAACACACTCGCTCGGCCTGGCCTGGTGCGTTACACAAGGCCCGTCAAAGGCGGGCACAAAGAAGGCTCGTAACAACAACCAAGCAAGCTGTGGGAGTGCTGCTGGGGGATCGGACAGCTCCATTGCACTGTTTTTTGGGAAGGAGGGTCATTGTTTTAATGCGGCGGGGCTGCATGCTGGACCTGACCGCAGGGCAGACAGCGAGAGTGGGCAGCAGTCCGGCAGGACTCCGGGCTGAGAGGAAGAGAGCCAGGGGCGGGGGTAGTGGCAGAGGCAGGAGCAGGGCCAGGAGCTCCCTTACTCTTTGTGTCCAGCTGGGCTGCGTACTTGCTGAAGCCCTTGAGGCAGACGCGGTCCCCCAGCAGCGAGAGGAAGGTCTGGAAGGCCGGGCTGGCCTCCTCGTTGTTGTACATCTCCTCCTCGGTGCTCTGGGCCGCCCGGCACAGCAAGATGCCCACCTTGTGCTTCTTGCTCAGCTGCAACCACAACAAAGTCAGAAGCGAGGATCAATTCCACTGATTGAACACAAAGACGGCACCCCTCACCGTTCCGCTTCAATGCATTAAGAGTGGCGGGTGTCTGCAACAAGGCACCAATCCTCATTTCAAAACTCATTCAGACGAGACTCCAGAGGTCAGTGACCACACCGCGCAAGTTTGACCCACTGGCCGCCTCATCTGGAGTTTCCTGTGTAGATTCTGACCCGCCGCTGCGGGCACAGGGGCCCGGCGGGCACTCACCCCCTGCTCGTCCAGCTTGATGAGCTGCTCGGTGACCTTGGCGGTGCTGAGCGCCAGCCGCAGGCAGTGGGCGTTGAGCTCGGGCACCACGTACTCCAGCACGTCCTTGAGGGGCAGCCCGCGCACCGTGCCGTGCTTGGTGGTGGAGGGGATGGTGTCTTCCAGGATGGAGCCTCGCAGGGTCACCAGCTGAACAAAACAGGAGAAGGGGGACACCACTCCAGGTGAGCTCTCCAGCGCGTCAGCTCACCAGGCTGGATCGGGCTCATCCTCATGACGGTAGGAGAGCTACAGTGCGAAGATCAGGAGGATGAAGAACCGGAAAATCAAGCCGTGGGACAGAGCCCTCTGCCGTGTGAAACATCACAGCTAGAGGCACAACACCAAGCATAAAACAGAGCCACCGCAAAGACCTCCCAACCCTTGCGAACAGGTGGCTGACTACTGCTCGTGTCTGGCCTTTGCACTGCGACTGCTGCAGAAATCTCTTCGTTTCGGGGACGGCTGTCCCGCCGAGACAGGACAGGGCTAGAGAGCTGGCCCCGGGAGTCCCCAGCTCCAACAACACGCACCCCCCCCTTCAAACTCCTGCTGCCTTCGTCTCCTCGCCGCGCGCAGTGAAGGCTTTCAGCCTCCTCACCTCTTCGGGGTGCAACCCTGCCAAACCTGCTGCGCTCAGTCAGCAAACCTTCTCCTCCTCCGATTCGCCGGCTCGGGGAAAAGGGGGCGGCGGTATGCAGAGACGGTTGCCAGGTTACCTCACTGGTCCGGAAGATGATGCGATACTGGTACTGGTCCTTCAAATCTTTGGTATCCTCCAGCTTCTCCCTGCGGATGCTCACCGCCACGGGCCCCAGCTTCTCGTCCGTCCCAAAGTAGTTTGAGTGCTCTAGGGAGGGACAGGGAGGGAGTAGGCCATGGTGAGGATCACACAGTCCCAGAAAAAAGGAACAGAACGTTTCCAAACTACGTGCTGTTGTCAGGTAGTGCATCTCACAAACACTATGAATTAGCTCATCTATCAGCGTACTGTACTGCAGCAGGCGTGGCTGATCACACTGTCTCTTAATCTGTAACTCAGACACCCTGGGTTACTCAGCCCGCTGGCAGCGCCAGAGTATCACCCAGACCTGCGCTGTGCAATGTTTCCACTGTCGCTTATCGGCTGTGACATCAGAGATAAACAAGGGAGGGAAGTTCTTCCGGCCGCGCTGAGAGGAGAGCCCAGGCCTGACGCCCTGCGAGCCACTGCGCCCGCCCACACCAGCAGCTGGTCAGGGCCCGGACTTTGCCCTCCGGTTATCGCCCGGGCACCCGGACAGGCCTCGCCCCGCCAGCTCCCTGTCGGCTCAGGCTGCTGCTTCCTGGTTCCACAACCCCACGTGCCCAGTCTCCGTGCTTTTGGAGCAGGACACCCGATCGGCTGGGAGAAGACTGCTGGCGAGGAAGCCCAGGCTTCACATGCCAGCTGCAGTGCCACCTCGCCCGCGCGCTCCAACCCGCGGGGAACAGAGCCCACACTGGCCTCACCTTTGCCGTGGAACCAGCTCTGGTAGTAGAGGGCGCCCATGTCGACGTGCTCGATGCTGTAGTGCTGGAGTCGCTCCAGGCGGGTGGTCTGCTGCTCGGCGGGCACCTCCAGCACCGAGACGCTGGCGTTGGTGCAGCGCGGGTGGGGGGCGGGCTCGAGGAAGCCCGCGGCGGCCCCGCCCTCCCCC